AATTTAGTGTTGTTATGATATGTGAGCGCCATGTACACGAGGTGACGAGTGCATACACAAGCTTTTGTTGAAAAACCTGATTTTGATTGAGTAATAGCCCGTTTTCATCTTATCTGAGTATACTAGAATGTGTAGTTATCTTGTTAGCCTAGAATAGCATATCTACGTGTCTTAACTATTTATCTGAACTATTTGCAGCATGTTTAGTGGATCCTGCTTCTTTATTGACTTGTACTTAGTCTAAATTGTAGGTTTTGTTGTTGTAATTGTTATGTTCATTTTGTTTGAGATGCATATTTACTTTGGGACTACGGGACAGTATCCCGAGAGATCTCCCTGCACGTTTACTTTTGAGACTGCGAGGCGTTTCCTCGGGAGTTCTCCTTGCACATTTACTTTTGAGGCTACGAGGCAGTTCCTTGGGAGATCTCCCTATACATTACTTTTGAGACTACGAGGCATTACCTCAGGAGATCTCTTTGCACATTTACTTCGGGACTACGAGACATTATCTCGGGAGATTTCGTGTTGTTTATCCATGTGTACTGTATTACTATTATTTTTGTGTTTTCCTTTATTTCATTCCAGTCTTTTATTATACTGTACATTTTCCTGCTTCATTTATTATAAACCAGTGGGCCTGACCTGGCCTCGTCACTACTCGACCGAGGTTAGACTTGGCACTTACTGGGTACCATTGTTGTGTACTCATGCTACTCTTCTGCAAATGTTTTTGTGTGCAAATCCAGTTACATCATTCCAACCTCGCTATTAGTTGTGCACCTACTGTTGTTACAGAGACTTGAAGGTACAACTGCTGCGTCCGCAGACCTAGGAGCCCCCCTCTATATTTTGTGTAGTTCTTCCCCTATTACTTCTAAACATTGGTGTATAGAACTTTTAGTAAATTCTTAGATGCTTGTGACTTATGATCTTCCAGGTCTTGGGGAAAGTTCTTTATGTATTTTTGGGAGTTGCTTTTGTATCTGCCGAGTGACATTCCTATTTTTTGTGTACTGTATTGTTAGTGGTTTAGATTTATTTTTCATTTGTTGTTATTCCGTAATTGCTAGGCTTACCTAGTTGTAGAGACCAAGTGCCGTCGCGACCTCTCTCGGAGGGAAGATTGGGTCGTAGCATTCTACTAGTTGCTCATACACTTGTGACACCGAATTTTGGGAACATGCTAGGAGACACTTTATGGTTTTGTGCATTTATTTTAATGTATTTACTCTCTCATTAGTTTATGTTTTACCTTACTATAATTTCTGACTATCCATTTACTTAATAAATAAAAATCAACTACTTTGAAATTATAAAAAGGGACCAATATATGTTTAGTTCACCGTTGTCTTGACTAGTGGTGACGTTGGGCGCCATCACGGCCTATAGAGAAATTTGGGTCGTGACAGAAATAGAATGATTTTTTCTTTGTCGCAAGCAAAATGCCAGTTGTTCTACTTTTTAATTGATATACAATATGATATTATTCCTGTTAGATTAAAAAATAATAAATTACATTATAAAAGTAGAATATACCAGCTACATTTTAAACTACAAATATAGAGTAGTTAATTTTAAAGTCCTAAATATTATAAAAATAATTAATTTATAATTTTTATGTGAAATTAATGCTTAAAAGTAAAAAAACCTATCAACATTTTTAACTTGGAGTTTTTTGCTTTTATAATTATAGTATTAATAAGATCGAACAACAACAACAACAACAACAATAATAGAGTATAGGTATTTGAAAGAATATAATAAATATATTGAAAAAGGGAAAATCAAGTTAGCAGGTGAGTCGTAATTGGTCCACTGTTGGACCATGGGCCTACCAAATGCATATATTTTATGTAATTACGTTTATCTGAAATAGTAAAATATATGGATTCCCTAATATCCAAATTATAGATCTAAATAACATATTTAATCAAAAAGTTAATATAACCAATAGAACAAAAACTTATAATTACCTTAAATTCCTTTTTAAAAAAAAATATGTACTAATTTATTACTATTAATCTAGATGTATAAATTTTAGTATCTTATCTTTATTTCACTTATCTAATTGAATTTGTGCTTAAAAAAGTTAAAACAATTATATTATTTATTATAATTATAAATTATAATTCAAAATGTAGCATGTCATTTGTAAACTTATTTATATATATTATTTTACTCAAAATGTAGTCTGGAGACATACCCTTGAGTCTAAGGGTTTCAAATTGAGCAGGACCATGATAGAATATTTGGAGTGCAAGTTCAACGGTGTTACCCAGGAAGCGGACGAGGATGTGAGGCTTGATATGCAGGTCATTTCCAGGAGAGAGAACTTCAAGTATCTGGGGTCTATAATTCAGAATGATGGGGAGATTGATGAGGATGTCACGCATCGTATCAGAGTAGGGTGGATGAAGTGCAATAAGAATGTGCCGTTGAGACTTAAGGGTAAGTTCTACAAGGTAGTGGTTAGACCGACTATGTTGTATGGGGAAGAATGCTGGCCAGTGAAGAACTCACATATCCAGCAGATGAAAGTAGCTAAAATGAGGATGTTGAGATGGATGTGTGGGCATACTAGGTTGGATAAAATTGAGAATGAATTTATTGGGGACAAGGTGAGAGTAGCTCCTATGGAGAAAAAGATGCGAGAGGCGAGGCTGAGGTAGTTTGGGCATGTTAAAAGGATAAGCACAGATGCACTAGCCAGGAGGTGTGAGAGGTTGGCATTGGAGGGTAACAGGAAGGGTAGAGGTAGGCCAAAGAATTCTTGAGAATAGATGATCAAGCGAGACATGGCGCAGCTTGAGCTAACCGAGGACATGACCCTGGATAGAAGGGTGTGGAGGATGAGAATTAGGGTAGAAATTTAGTAGGTAGTCGTGCGTTTCCTTTTGTATTCATTAGTTCGATAGTATTAGTGTTAGTATGGTACCCATTTTATCCTTAGTTTGCTATTATCGCATATCTTGTTCTGTCATTACTTGCAATCAGTACTTCCTTAGTCTGTTAGCAGTACTTCTTTTATATTCTCTATTGCTATCTTGAATTTAGTTTTCTAAATATATTCTCTTGCTATTATTTTATATCGGTACTTCTTTCATATTCTCTATTGCTAACTTCGATTTAGTTTTCTTAATATATTGCTTGCTATTATTTGCTAGCAGTGCTTCTTCTATCTTGTTTAGCCGAAAGTCTATCAGAAACAGTCTCTCTGTCCTTCCAGAGGGTAAGGGTAAGGCTGCGTACATCATACCCTCCCCAGACCCCACTAGTAGAATTACATTAGGTTATTGTTATTGTTATTTTACTCATAATTATTTATAGATCATTGTAGAACATATATTTTGTAAACTTGATGGCAGATAAAATATTGGTTTTGGTTTACAATGTATGCTAAACTTCAATATTTTTAGACAGAAAATTAGAATGTAGTCTCTTTTGTTTCAGTTATCTTACTATCATGCTGTTGTTAATGTTTCTTGTTACTGCTTTTTATGGCCTTTTCTTTGCTGCATTTCTTTTACTATGTTGTGATTATGCTTTTCCTGAATCGAGGGTCAATTGGCAATAACCTCTCTACCTCCAAGAGGTAGGGGTAAGATCATCATGCATAATATCTTCCCAAACTTGTGGATTAATCTAAATTTATTGTTGTTGTTGATAAAGTAAGAACTTAATTTTTATTAAAAATTTCAAAGGTACGTGTAAACTTTAACTTATAATTTTTTTTGTCTTTAATTATTTTTTTAAGTTGTTTTGTTGTAAGGTGGATTATAAATACCTTTTGATACATTCCCACTAAAAGTCTACTGCAATAATTCTATCACTTTAGAATAATAATTCCTAACCCAAAAAAGAGACGTAAGTGCACGAGATTTTATTTTGTAACTTTCTGTTTGTTCTCTTTCGGTTAACCTTTTTTCTTTCTAAAATGGTAAAGAATTAATTGGTTATATATTTATACAAAGATTTAAGGGGTAATTTGTCCATTATTGCTCAATACACTTCCTGATTTGTGTCATGTATCTACCCAATCAATTCAAGGCTGAGATTAAATAGGTCACTCAACAACTAAAAATGGTAATACAATTTCATATAAATAAAATAATAAAAAGTTTAATGCTAACGGTGTCAGTCTAGTTTCACCTTACCTGCACTTTTCTCTCACTCAACACAACATACAGTCCCCACCATGATGTCATAACTAGTAAAATAATGTTCCCGAATCCATTTTAACTGCTACAAGTGATTTCTTAACTTTTGGAATTGGCCTTTTCTATTTATTTTTTTCTTCTTAAATGAGACTTGACAAATAACACAATAAAAAATCATCTCTTTCATGTTGACACAAAAGCATTTGAATAATAGACTTAACTGAAGTTGTTAAAATGCAATAAACAACCTTTTATAATCATCCAATTACTTCTAAAGTCCAAAAAGCTATGGAAGTACTTAAATAACATGTCCAATATCTTAAATAAAATAATAAAAATCAACTAGAAATAAAATTAACATAGATCACAGTAAATTATTATCTCGAAACTCTTGTGCCCCTTGACTCTCGAAAAAGCTCGCCTGCCAAATAATGATAAATTATATAAGTCAATAAAATAATATGTGTTAAAAATAAATATAAAAGCTTCTTTTAATATAAACCTGATCATGAGGAAGAGAACAAGAATTTTGTGTATGTGCAAGAGTATCAAAATAAGAAGGTTCCTACACCAATAATATAAACTAAGTCAATTATATATATATATTTTATACCATTAAAGTGTGTTAATATTACCGTTAGCATTTGAGTAAAGCTATAAGATACTGTCGAAAGTGAAAACTCGGAATGTTGGGATAAGTTGGAACAAGCCATACTTTGAGAGGCACTTAAATTAGAATTGTAAAAAACGTTCTCATCTCTTGTTGAATCCTACGAATAAATATAAGAAATATTATAATTGTGTAACATTATAATAGTTGGTCAACATCAAATATTCGAATTATGAACTGAAATAAAATATGATATACCTGGTTGATACAATTTCGCTTATCAATTTTAGTTCTATTATTAACTGTAGATCATCTTGATTAATAGAATCTGACTTCTTTCCTCGAGCTTTCTTACTCTTTGAGTTCGCTTCAAGAGAAGTATTGATCCTCTTTTTCAGACGTTTTGTGTTATCTTTCTTTTTAAAACTTTTGGCTCGTGAGAGGAGATCTCTGTCATTACTTTCTTCTGGTAAATCTCTCGTTGAGCCAGTAGTATGGAGAGATGGAGCTGTTACCTCCATAATTTGTTTCAATCTTGCACTTAACTCATTTACACATGTTGCCGCTAGCTTATAGCTTTCATCTGTTTCAGAAGCTTTAGCTGCCATTCTAACAAATATAGGACAAAGGATTCTATAACGATTCACAATGATTAGCTTTGAATCCTTGATCTCTATATCTTGCCCATCAATTTCTTTAATATTTACGGCTTTTGCAATTTTTGTCCATCTTTTCAAAATATACTCATCTGGAATTTTATCCACTCCTCTTATCACATCAAGAATTCTTATTGCATGACAACAAAGTATACCCATGGACTCAAACTTCATGCAAGTACAAGATATATGATCTGCCTCTGTCACCTTAACAATATGCTCTCGAGTGTGCCCATACTTGCTAACCTTATAAATGATGGGAAAATTATTTTCCTCACATCCATTCACTATAATTATTAAAGACTTCATATATTCATCTTGAAACTTCGAAAAAATATTTGGTGTATATACCTCTCTAACATGAAACAAAATTGGCATCTTTGCTTTTAATACTGGCAACCGTTGTGATGCATCACATGTATCTTGCAGCTCATTATATCTTTTGTCCTCAATTTCTCTATCATAATGCTTAAAAAATTGTACCAAATTATAATCAGACTGCAAATAATCCTTTAATTCACTATTCAAACTCTCACTTAATTGTGTGCTATTCATGCAACCAGAAAAGGTTTGCTTTCTATATGCTGCAAATAATTTTTCTTTCAAAGCATATATTCCTTGCAACAATTCATTTGCATGAAGATTATATTCATCAAGCATAACAGTCCAAGCAATTATAAATTCTCCTTCATCCTCATACTCGTAAATACATTTTCTAAAATCACCACGGAAAGAAGCGTACCTTTTATAAACTTGATTGAGGTGTTTTACAGCATTTTGTTCCATGTGCCAAATACACAACCTATGATGAACTTCAGGCATGACGAATGAGATGACCTTACTCATAGCAGCATCCTAATCTGTAAAAATAGTTTTTGGTGTTTTTCCAGACATTGCTCTAAGAAATGTTTCGAACAACCACTGAAAAGATTATGAAGTCTCATCATACATCAGTGCACCTCCAAAAATAATCATTTTTCTATGGTTATTAAATCCAAGGAAACTAGCCAAAGGTCTATGCTCTTTATTTGTCTGGTACGTAGTATCAAATGAAAGCACATCTCCAAAAATCTCATAATCTATTATCATCTTAGAATCTGCCCAAAATATGTTCGTGATCATATCATTAACATCCAACTGTACCACAAAAAAGAAAGATGGGTCATCAACTTTTTTTTTCTCAAAATATTCTAATAGTACTCCTGGAAGAAAATACCAAAAATAAGTATGTATGTGCTATTTTTAATACGAGAAAATCACATTCCAAAGATTAAATAAAAAATTATTAGGCAATTTGAACAAGTAATTTACTTGCTTCTCCTTGTCCCATAGCTTTTTGCCTTTTGGTTCGAAGGTAGTTCTTATGATCTAACTTAGTATAGCCCAAATTTGCTCGGCCACCAGCTTGAAGACTTATAATATCAAAAGTTCCTTTAGAAAATAATCCAGCATCCTCCGCCAAATCGATTTCATGAGTTTGTACGTCGTTCAAATTTCTGTGAGATGGCAACATGTGAATCATTTTCGGTTGAATGAGAGGATGGTTATATTCTAACTCAACCTTAGTAATATGGTACTTTCCAACAAATTGGCGAGTAACAACAATATGAGCTTGACATCCTGTTCTAATCTCTTTTCGTGAATTTTTAGCTTGATATTTTCGTTTATCATCTCCACGGAAACCCTCCTTGAAACACGTAAGCTTTCGTGATGTTACATAACCCAATTTCTTATTTCTGTTCACTTACTCTTTGTGAACAGTAAAACTAATCCTTCTTGCATACTCATTGTAAAAATTAAATGCACTCTCATTGTCGTCAAACTCAAGACCAAGCGCAGGCTCACGATCTATTGACCCTTGAAAATTATTTTGTAAAACTTCTTCTGCAGTAGCTTCACACTTGCTTTCTCCAAAATTGTCCATTATACTTCAAAAGAAAAAGAATACAAAACATAGAAACATCATTAAGTTTTGAATAGTTTAACTAGAAATATATAAACTTGTTATAAATTTATTAAAAAAAATTATTTAAACTTATTGCATTTGAATTCTAATATGTAATGGAAAAAATATTATACTAGAACAGATGTAATGCATCTTCCTAAGAATATAAAATAAGTACAATACATTAATTAATCAAATTTAATAAGACTAAATAAGTCTAGTAAAAAAAAGAGTAGAACCTTGTCTTTCAAAAATTCTTCAACTGCTACGAAGTTGATCTTAATAACAATGGCGCTTTTGGTTTCTTAGGAAAAGAATAGAAAGCAATATTCTTATAAATCTACAATATATAATTAGTTAGAAAGATAAATGCAGATCTTTAATTTCTTATTCATAATCTTTTATAAAAGGAATGAGATGATGGACTGTTTTTTGGCGGTTAAATAATTGGTAAGATGAATTCCCACCACTTTAATTTTCTTTTACTTTTCTTACACTTATTTTGTGGAGATAATTTTGCTAGTTATGACATCATTGTGGGGTCTACATGTTGTATTGAGTGAGAGAAAAGTACAAGTAAGCTGAAACTAGACTGACACCGTTAGCATTAAACTTTTTTTTATTTTATTTATATGAAATTGCATTACCATTTTTAGTTGTTTAGTGACCTATTTAATCTCATCCTTGAATTGATTGGGTAGATACATGGCACAAATCAGTAAGTGTATTGAGCAATAATGGATAAATTATCATTGGAGGGGATCTCCACCCAGATTTAAGACTCCTAAATGTAAAAAAGAGTTCTAAGTAGATGAGAGTTTCCTACTTCAACTATTTTGGGTGTTACTCTTCCTTTACAAATATGTTCTCTTACCTAGTGGATTCAATTTAAAAAATTAGTTGAATTTGGTATCCTAAATATAAGGAAAATATTTAAATAACTATTCCTCTATTTTAGAAAAATAATTAAATGACTATTTTGTCAAGTCTAAAATATATTTTTAAAGGGTAAAAAAGGCGAACGACATTTCTCTAAGGGCATTCGTGCTTTTAATATAGTACTAGTCTCTATGTTCGTGCGTTGCACGAATATCTTGTGTCAAATATTATAAAATCCGTAAAAAAAAATAGTATACTTTCAATCTCATAGTATATGTCAAGACCCTAAACCCGGACCCGGTCGTGATGGCGCCTCTCGTGAAGACAAGACCAGCCAACACTTCCCATATCCAATTATTAACAGTTAAACCATAAGAAATAAATCTAAAGCATGATAAGATAATCCAAAGTTAACAGATAATAGCCTAATTCGCGGAAAATAACCCAACACAGCCTGATACCAGGGTGTCACTAGTAATGAGCATCTAAACAATCCGTAATACTCCAAATCAAACTATAGAGTTTAATACAGAAACTAAGAACATGAAGAAGTAAGATAAGGGAAGAGATCTGGGTTGCGAACGCCAACAGCTACCTAGAGACTCCTCGGATCCGCCTGAGCCGGAAATGATCAACACTCGGGAGCGGGACCAGATACGGCTGAATCTGCACACAGAGTGCAGTGAGTACTCAAACTCAGTGAGTAATAATCATAAATAAAGACTGAAAGCGGGAAATCACGTAAGGCACAAAAACATGCTATAGCGAAGCAGTAAAACCATTAAAATAGTAAACCAGTGAAATATAGGTAAAAAAATCCTTTACCTCAAATTTAACTTCATGAAAATCCTTTTTCAACAATTACGCATGGTAATTGATAGGAAATTAAGAAAAAGATAAACAAATAAAGGTTCGCCCCCCGGGCACAGTATTAACAAATCCGCCCCTCGGGCAACATTTCAGAACAATACCAGCCCCTCGGGCTCAATCTCAGATAACAATGGGTACCCGCACTCACTGGGGGTGTACAGACTCCTGGAAGGGCCCCAAGCGCAATATCAAGCCATCTCATGGAATCATCACTAGGCCCTCGGCCTCATATCAATCAAGCCACCTCGTGGCGTACATATCTCAGGCCCCCGACCTCATAATCAGTATAAAATGTTTCCTCACAACATATACCCTTGGCCTTACTCAGTCAAAAATCCTCACAAGCCCATTGGGCAACAGTAAAACAGTGATTCTCAGCCCAATTATCATTTAAAAGATCATTTAAGTATTTAAAACATAGTAAACATGGCTGAGTATAAAAACAGTGAAATATATCATGATTGAGTTCTAGTATAAAGTCAAAACAGTGAGGAAATATCAATAAAAATTGCTGAAGGGTTAAAATAGTTAGCACAAAGTCCAAATATGTCTTTCAGCCCAAATCATGATGATAGCAAATAGATTTCAGTTAAATACACGGTAAAACAATCATTCGGGATGGACTACTCCACAATCCCCAATAGTGCACGACCCCACGCTCGTCATCAAGCGTGTGCGTCACCTCAATATAGCACCACGATGTGCAAGTCCGGGGTTTTATATCCTCAAAACATCATTTACAATTATTACTCACCTCAATCCGGTCAAATCGCTAGCTCGCGACGCCTTTACCCCTCGAATCGGCCTCCACTCCTATCGAATCTATCCAAAATCAGAATGAGGATGATAAAATATGCTAAGGGAACGAAGCCCAAGCGAAAATAATCAAAATACGACACAAATCCCGAAATTACCAAAACCGACCCCCGGGTCCACGTCTCGGAATTCGATAATTTTTACATCAATAGTTTCCTTATATCCCCACGAGTTCATACATATCAAAAGTTCTGAAATCCGACCTCAAATGGTCCTTCAAATCCTCAATCAAAGGTCTAAGTTTCCAAGCCCTAGTTCTTCAATTTTTGGCTTAATTTCCATGATTATTTAGGTGGAATTCACATTAGAATCGAGTTTTAAGTCCAAGAATCTTACCTCCAAGTGATTCCCCTTGAATGCCTCTTCAATCCCCTTCAAAAAGCTCTAAAAACGACCAACAATGGAAGAAATAAACCCCAAAATCGCGGACAAGACGAGTATTTAAACATTCTGCCCAGGCCTTAATTCCTTCTTAGCGAACGCGGTCAACGCCTTGCGTTCGTGTAGCACAAAAATGACTTTAACCAAAAATCCTCTACGTGAAAGTGACATGCCCATCGCGAATGCGATGGCTCCTTAGTTTGACCCTTCGCAAACGCGCTCCCTCACCCGCGAACGCGATGAAGAAAATACCTCAACACCCAGCTGGCCAATTTCCTCTATGCGAACGTGGAGCTTACCTCGCGAACGCGATGAATCGCTTCCCAGCCCTTCGCGAATGCGGAGTCTCCCTCACGAATGCGAAGGCAAAAGTCTCAACCTTCTCCATCTAACCCTTCGCGATCGCGGCTTCCCTCTCGCGAACGCGAAGGTCAATTGTGTGCAACACTGAGCAGCAGATTTCTGCAATTCCAAACTTCATAAAATGATCCGATTGACCACCCGAAACTCACTCGAGGCCCCCGGGACCTCAAACAAACATACAAACATATCCTATAACCTTATTAAAACTTGCTCCAACCTTCGGAACCCTCAAAACAACATCAAAACACCAAATTCGCATGGGATTCAAGCCTAAGAATTCCAAAATCTTCTAAATTATGCTTTTGATCAAAACCCCAACCAAACCACGTCTGAATGACCTAAAATTTTGCACACACATCCCAAATGACATAACAAAACTACTGCAACTCTCAGAATTCCATTCCGACCCCTATTTCAAAATCTCGCCTACCAACCGGAAATCACCAAAATATTAACTTCGCCAATTCAAGCCTAAATCTACTCCGAACCTCTAAAACACATTCCAATCACGCTCCTAAGTCCCAAATCACCTCCCGAAGCTATCCGAACCATCAAAACTCACATCCAATCCCTCTAACACACAAGTCAACATCCGGTTGACTTTTCCAACTTAAGCTTCCTCAAAAGAGATTAAGTGTCTCAAACCTTACCAAAATCATTCCGAATTCAATCAGACCAACCCGATACCACATAACATGGATAAAAAAAGTATAAAGAAGCAGAAATGGGAAAAATGGAGCGGTAACTTAAGAGACGACTAGCTGGGTCGTCACATCCTCTCCAACTTAAACAAACATTCGTCCTCGAACGAGTCAAGAAATATACCTGAAGCCTCAAACAGGTGAGGATATCTGCTCCGCATCTCCCGCTCAGTCTCTCAGGTAGCCTCCTCCATGGGCCAACCTCTCCACTGCATTTTTACTGAAGCTATATCCTTCGACCTCAACTTTCGAACCGGACGACCCAAAATAGTTAATGGCTCCACATCATAGGTAAAATCATCATCAAACTGAACCGTGCTGAAATCCAGAACATGAGACGGATCCCCAATATACTTTCGGAGTATAGAAAAAGCAAGCTCATAAGCCACCTCCCCAATCCTCCGAAGCACCTCAAAAGGCCCAATGAACCGAGGACTCAATTTACCTTTCTTCCAAAATATCATAACACCCTTCATGGGTGAAACCTTCAACAGAACCTTCTCGCCAACCATGTAGGATACATCCCAAACCTTTCTATCAGCATAGCTCTTCTATCTCGACTACGTTGTGCGAAGCCTCTCCTGAATCACCTTCACCTTTTCTAAAGCATCCTGCACCAGGTCTGTCCCCAATAGCCTAGCCTCACCGGGCTCGAACCAACCAACTGGAGATCTACATCGCCTCCCATACAAAGCCTCATATAGAGCCATCTGAATACTCGACTAGTAGCTGTTGTTATAAGAAAACTCTACAAGTGGTAGAAACTGATCCCATTACCCTTCAAAATCAATGACACAAGTACGCAACATGTCCTCCAATATCTGAATAGTGTGCTCGGATTGCCTGTCCTTCTGAGGGTAAAAAGTTGTGCTCAACTCAACCTGAGTACCCAATTCTCGCTGCACAAACTTCTAAAACTGCGATGTAAACTGAGTGCCCCTATCTGAAATGATGGAAACTGGGACACCA